GAATGCACATTGTTAAATGTGTAAAGAACCTGAGTTTACACCAAATCCTAAGGCATATTTATCACCAACAATAATGACATTGTCCGCTCTACCCTTTGTGAGAAAATAGTTTCCCATATACACCTGCCTCCCATCAGCAATGCAACGCGTGATGGGATACAACGTGTCAAAGCGCAAGTTGCTGCGCTCCATAATTATGCGGAATACCTGTTCCGAAAGGTAAACTAAGCAGTTTGTATTGTACACAAACTTGCTCACCGTATAACGCTCCGAACTGATTCAGTAGACTGCGAACATTTCACTCACAAAGGCAGCATAGTACATGCAGTGCAATGGGTGCGACAGCAGGTAAAGCAACTTGAGAAGTTCAAAAGATGTTCGTACTTCTCCGCTCCCAAGATATTCTCTAGGACAACCGGTCCCAAGTGCAACGCAAACTGGTGGAATTCTGTGGCTTTCCTCTGTTCGAAATCATCCAACCCGGCACTTTCGCCAGAAGTCGCTCGGTAACCAGAACCGAAATTCATCCAAACGATGGGAAATCTGTCTTATATGGAAAGCACTCATTCTGAAGTCATGAAAAAAGAAATGGAGAAAAAATTGCACTAGCGGGAAGATCAACGTTTTTCCGTCATGCACACCGACATATGTGCAGCGGTCACAGTAGCTATAACCACTGTGCCCAGTTCGTTTGTTTGACGAAGAACGAAGGAAATAGAAGTGTGCTATCTAGATTTTAGCAAAATATTTGACTCAGTGTGTCATCACTTACTTTTGGCCAAGATAGATGCTCTAGGGATAAAGAGTAACATCCACAAGTGGCTAATAGCTTTCCTGACCGATGGAAGAGAAGCGAAATAGTTAGTGGAAACCATTGCTAGTGGAGTGCCACAAGGGTCAGTCCTAGATCCGCTCTTATTCTCGCTCTATATTAATGCTCTTCCTGAACGACTTGGCTCGCCCAGCCTTATATTTGCGGACAACGTCAAGGTTGTAGGATCAAATGGGAGAGCAGAATTAGGAAGGGACATAGAAGAAGTGCTCAAGTGGTCAAGTACATGAGATTTACCTCTCAACATAGGAAAAAACCATGTCTTGATCACTGGAGATGAACGGCTGATCGTGGGGAGTAGTCACGGCGGTCGTCCAATAGGAACGACGCAGAAGGCTAGAGATTTAGGAATCATAGTGACAGCAAACTATAAATGGGCAGAACAGTGCGCCGCAGCGGCGCACCGCTCTCGTAGGGAGCCTTTTAGACTGCACTTGGCACTAGCATGCAGGAAACCCCAGGTATTCGTACCGCTATACAAGGCAAATGTTCAACTGTATCTAGAGTATTGTTTACAAGCCTGGGCATTCTTCCTTAAAAAGGACACCGCTTGTCTCGAAGGGGTCCACCTATTAGCACAAGGATGATTAAAGGATAACGAAGGAATTTGTATAGGTAGAGACTGCAGGATCTCGGACTCATTGGAAAGAAGAAGGCTCCGAAATGACTTGATAGAGACATTCAAAACTATGAGTGGCCTATCGGGGACGGATCAGAGGGCTAAATCAGGTTGAGGGTACTTGAGGCCTAAAATCCTCGGCAAGATGGCACATGGTATGCGAAGGCAACTACTTCTGATCAAGTGGACAAGATTTGCTGTGTGATTCAACGGCTTTAGAGGAAATCTGTCCGAGAATCAGGGCTGCGTCGTCGATACAAATTCCGAAGCCGTGATTAGTCTGTAAAAAGATCTTTAGTAATCTTTAGTAATAATCCGCTTTTAGATTTTGACCAAACTTCCGTTTCAGACAGTCCTCAGCTGATCCAGTCAGCAATCCACATGGGAAACATTAAAGTAGATTTTCACTTTATGTAGAACTTATTAAAAATGAAAATCTCATCTGGTGTAGCAGGTTTATTTGGCAATATGCGCTCAGACCAGATCTGGTGGGATGTTTTCGATTGGAATGAACTGGTGACATACTATCTCAGCTGCCGAGAAATGCTCGGATATGATCTAGTTAGAATCAGTAGTTCTGTTCAGCTCCGGTGTGAGGTGGTTGGCACACTGGTATCAAAATCCCTCCACGCGAGGAGTTCGTTTTCCAAATGGATCGGTTATCTATCACTGCTAAGCCCTAGAGTGCTTCCCAAATGTATTGTTTACCAGATGAACTGAAGATTTTACGTGAAGGTGACACTTGGAAAGTGATCAGTTAAAATCACTGTTCGCAAATGACTGAGTTAAAATTGTGAAATCTGTTTGCTTGCCAGGTTGTTTTCTGAGGCTTCAATTATTTTGGTTCGCAAAGTAACATTCTATTAGTTGGCAACTGTAGATAAGCTAGATCCTCAGTGTCGTGGAACCAAATCAATGACCATCGATCGTGCCCAGTTTCAGTTTGAACAAACCATTAACCGTGTACTTTCGTGAGCCGGTTTTGGTTGCTGTCTTTTAGCTGCTCATTTGAATGAACAGTAGGAGAAAGATAGGAAAGTTGAAAGTAGGATCAAAGAGAAAATTTAATAAATCATTGCACTAATTTTGCAGAGAAATTGAGGAGATGCACGAACACCATTGTTTACGATCCCCAGCCATATCTTCTAGTTTCTCTAGCCATCGATTACGCTGATCTTCAGGTCCCTATCCAGAGAGCTTAGCAGGATCTATGTGACCCAGTCCTCTGGTTAGGGTTTTCATACCCTCATGCCAGGTCTTAGCATGACCACCTTGGGCTTTCTTCCACCCACTACCTGCCTCGGCGAACATCGCTCACTATGGTAACTTATCTGTTAACATGTGTAACATATGCCCCCAACCAAGGTAATCTGGAGGGTTCACCACTTACTCCCGTGGGCTACCGCGGTTCCCCAAAACTCTGTGCCTAATCCTATGTCACTATCTGGAAGTACTAAATGCATTAAACTGGTTCGTCTTTCATGCACTATTTTATTCAAACCCCTTTCTTGTCCGTCTGCTATCTCCCGACAGGTTAGTTATGTCAGGCAAACGACCAGAGGCTTCTCTTCCTCCCGAACTGGTGAGTTTTTTGTTCATCCACACGCTATAGACGCTGTCATCGATTCGTCTTTTCAGTATTACGATGAACGCGAGGCAGAGAAATACACATTCAAGTATGTAAAGCGCTACACAACGGGGTCCACTGATTCCGACCTGTTTCAATTACAGCGCGCACATAATCGATGTTCAGACTCGTATTACCGAACGGGCATTGGAGTTGCTTGCACTACCCGAAGATGAATGTTGCACTCTGCTTGATATTGGGTAAGAAACGGGAACAATTATATTCGCTTTCAACTCACCTCAGTTGCGTGGTTGTCACTGTGAACCGCACTGAACTGATCGTTTTTCGTTCTTTCAGAGAGGAGTTTGGTTCTCTACGGTTTTGTTCACCCATGCTTTTATCTAAGTTGTAATTATGAAAACAACGATGTCGGTACGGGTGAGAGCAAACGGACGTTTCGGTTACCGTGGGCGACATTTATCAA